TCGTTTGATACCAAACTTGTCTTGAGCCAGCCCATCCATCCTTCCTTCCTTCCTTCCTTTCTACTATTGAGTTCTTAAGGTCTGAAAATAAAAATTGGCTTACACCTTTTCTCTACAACTTTTCCCTTAATACTCAGAAAAGTAGTTTTTAATGTTTAAATGAGTTAGCATCGATGTTATTGGGTCGTCGGGAAAGTGATAATGCATTTTTACATTGAAAAACATAGAAAAAGTACATCATGACTTTCCTGTTGACCTCATAATTTAACTTCATTAATAATAATATAAAACAACTTCCAGTTGTTTATACATTATTGCTATGTTTATTTGTTATGCGTGTACTGATATGTTAAATTAACATCCGAGTTCATTCATTTTGCAAAAGCTAGGAGCAATGAAAACTAGCTAAGAGCATTTTGAGAGGAAAAGTGGAAGATGTGAAGGCCTTTTAGAATTTTCTAATGTCTAGGCCCATGGCTCTTGTCTAGGGGTGACGTTGCCCCTCAGGGGACATTTGAATATATCAAAACATCCTCCCATGGGGGGAGGATGTCAGCATCCTGCAGTGCACAGAACAGGCCCCACACCGGAAGATTATTTGGCTCCAAAATTCAGTAGTGCTGAGATTGAGAAACCCTGATTCAGACTTAGTGGTCATCTTATCTTTCAAACAGTGGTTCTCAAACTTGAGCATGTATCAGAACCACCTGGAGGTCTTGCTAACCCACAATTGCTGGTTCCACTCCCCTCCACCCCCAAAATTTGAGGTTCAGGAAGTTGAATGGTACCTGAGGGTTGCCTTTCTGCCCAGTTCCCAGGTGATACTGATGCTGCTGGCCCTGAGACACACTTTGAGAACCACTGCTCTACAGGCATGGCGTCTAACCTGTGTAGATTCTGTCCTCTTTTTTGGTCAAATTCTGGGATATGTTTACCTGGAGTCATTTACACATTTCCATTTATCCCAACAAAACCGAACTATGTATGACAGAGCTAAATATTGATAAACTCAATTGCCCAAAGAGTATTAAGCCAGTGTGTACTTAATTCCTTCATACCTGGAGGCACAGGTAATTAGTGGTTTGGGCTTAGAGATCTAGCTAGAAACCAGGGGTTAATGTGTTACAAATGATTAATAGAGAATGGTGTTACTCATTGTATGAAGTAATTTATATTTCGTTGCAGTAATAAATACTTACAGCTCTTTTATTTAAAGTTAATATTTAAGCCTTAATTAAATTTTAGTATTTTTAGCTTTAGTTTAAGTTGCCTGTGCTTAAGAACTAACAATTTGAGCTTTGAAATTTGAGCCAAGTACAAGAATGATTAGATTCATGAACTTTCTTTAAACTTCTTGAATCCATAAAGTAGGATTGTCCTTCTCCTCAGGAAATTGTAAATAGTGATTATAATAATTACTTCAGTGGTAAGTTCAAGGGAAACAGAAAATGAGACTCCACTTTCAGAACAGAACTGAAATGTGGTGAGGCAGCAGGAACCAGTTCCTAGACACGAGTGTGTAAGGGTCCTCTGTGTCGCAGGCTGGGAAAGAATTCACAGACTGAGTTAAAAAAGATGAATTATTCACTTTCCAAAGGGGGGAAAGGAAGCAGATGGGAGAGCTGTATCGATCCTAAAGAGTAGGGACTAGGGGAACCAGAAGATGTCATAATGGCCTCATTGCTGGACTCCCACATAGTCAACTGTGGGTCAAGTGCTGGACCTGGTGGCTTAAACCTTACACCAGGAGCGTGTGCATACATGCCCAAGATCCCAGGAGGAGAATGGAGGAGAAGGGATTGCGGTGTGGCCATACCCCCTAGGGGGTGATTTCTTACTTTCTGTCATTCTGGAAAGCGCATGTGCCCTATACCAAACATTTCTCTTAAAAAAAAAAAGAGTAGGCGCTAGACTTGAAAGGAAAGGAAAGGGATTTAGGGTGGGGTGATTAAGGTAACCCTGAGACAGCAGTCAGGTGGTCTTTTGTAGCATCTGGGATGTATAGTTGTTATGTCTGAGTCAGCTATCTGCAGTAAAATCGAGCAGCCTCCCTTTTCTTCCCTCCTTTCAGGTGGAAATCTTCCTCTGACCCCAACTAGGACATGTCCCTTCCACTGTCTAGCCAGACCAGGTCTGACCCTTTAGGCCTTTCTTCCCACCACATCAAGGATGCTCAGGGTTGCCCGAGTATCCTCTTCCTGTGTTATGTTCCCTCAGACAGAGCTCAAGAGGAGAGACAAATGTCAATGGGTAGATACCAAAAAAAGAAAAAGAAAGAAATGCCCAAGGCATCTGTGGGACTATGAAGGTACTCTTCTTATCAAATATGTCCAAGATATTTGGGGTTGGGGCTAATAGGTCCTTTCAGCATGCTTTTTGGACCTCTTTCCTATGGACTTGGTTAAATTTAGACAGTAGGGTTGAATTTTTTGTTTCCGTTTTAGGTTTTGCCATAGGGCACGTGCATTCCCTAGAGGCAGACAGAGAGAGGAAATTGAGAAATGACCACCCTGGGGGTATGGCCACATCACAGTCTCTTCACCTTTGTTCTCTTCTTGGGATTTTGGGCATACACATGTGCCCAGCATGATTTTCAGCTCAGTCTGGTCCAGGTCTCAAACTGTGGTTAGCCATGTGGGAGTCCAGAAACTTAATCACCATGCCGCCTGCTGGCCCCAGAATGTTAGATTTGTTTTTTTTTTTTTTAGAGGTTTTTGCCATAGGGGGCATGCACTCGCCAGACAGAGAGAGACAGAGAGACAGAAAGCGAGAAATTACCCCCCAGGAGATATGGCCACGTTGCAATCCCTTCTCCTCCATTCTCCTCTCGGGATCTGGGGCATGCACACGTGCCCAGCGTGAGTTTTAAGCCCCTGGGTCCGGGAGGCAAACCACAGTCGACTACGGGGGAGTCCAGCGACATAGCCATTACGCTAACTCAGGTCCCCAGAATGTTAGAATTTTTAAAAGATAAACACACCCAGTAGTGGCTTGGAGGTTGAGATGGTTGGATCCACACGGCTTACTGTGTGGTTCAAATCCTACACCTGGTGGCTTGAAAGTCATGTTGGGCCTGTGTGCATTTGGGCCTAGAATCCTGACAGGAGAATGAAGGACAAGAGATTACCATGTGGCCATTCCCCCAGGGGTTGATTTCTCATTTTCCATTTCTATATCATTCCCTCTCTCTGGCAAGTGACTGAGCCATATTTAAAACTAAATAATAATTATAATAATAATAACTTAAAAAGATGAAAACTTTATTATAAAGGCTTACAAATAAGGCTATAAGCCTACTGTCTTCATTTTTGAAAAACAGTTTAGAAGGGCCAGCAGGTGGCATGGTGGTTAAGGCACTGGACTCCCACATGGCTGACCACAGTTTGAATCCCAGACCTGGTAGCTTGCTTTCTCACTTTCCCTCTTTCTCTGTTCAAATGGAAAGTAATGATAATATAATAAATAAAATATGTAATTCTTTTTTTTTTTTTTTTGGAGTGGGCAGATTTTTGCTATAGGGCATGTGCACTCACCCGAAAGAGACAGAGACTGAAAGCGAGAAATCACCTCCAAGGGGGGATGGCCACACTGCAAACCCTTCTCCTTTATTCTCCTCTCAGTATCTTGGGCACGCATGTACACGCATCTGGCATGAGTTGAAGCAGCCGGGTCCGGGACTTGAACTGCAGTGTACTACATGGGAGTCCAGCGACACAGCCATTACGTCGACTGCTGATCTCAAACTTTTTTTATTTTAAAGAAAGAAAATTGGGGAACCAGCAGTTGGCGTAATGGCTATGTCACTGGACTCCCACGTAGTCGACTGTGGTTCGCGTCCCGGACCCGGTGGCTTAAAACTCACCCCGGGTGCGTGTGCATGCGTGCCCAAGATCCCGAGAAGAGAATGGAGGAGAAGGGATTGTGGCGTGACCATCCCCCCTGGGGGGGTGATTTCTCGCTTTGTCTCTCTGTCTCTCTCTGTCTGTCTGGCGAGCACACGCGCCCTATAGTGAAAACTTCTCCAAAAAAAAAGAAAAGAAAGAAAATTGCAGTTTAGAGGTGAATGTGCTTAAACTATTGCTTCAGAAGGCTGTAGGCCAAGATTAGTTCTGTAAAAAAAATTCAGTTTTGGGACCAGCAGTTAGCGTAATGGCTATATCGCTGGACTCCCACGTCGTCGACTGCTGTTCGTGTCCCGGACCTGGTGGCTTAAAATTCACGCCGGGCATGTGTGCGTGCATGCCCAAGATCCTGAGAGGAGAATGGAGGAGAAAGGATTGTGGCGTGACCACCCCCCCAGGGGGTGATTTCTCGCTTTGTCTCTCTGTCTCTCTCTGTCTGTCTGACGAGAGCACGCGCCCTATAGCAAAAACCTCTCCAAAAAAAAAAAAAAAATTCAGTTTTGTTCGGTCCAAGAGTTCATGTGTTTAAAATATTTTAGGATGTTGTACTTAGGCTGGTAAATAATAGAAAACCCGCTTTTATGTATTGTTTTAGTTTATTTTTGTAATATAGTAGATATTTAATATATTTGTTTCTCCTAGACATTTCTAGGCATTTTCAGATGGTTCTGGGGAACATTTCTATGTTAACTAGTTGTTCCTGTGGTAATAATCCTGGGTAAGCACCTTGATTTTACGTATTACGCTTTGGAGGAAACCTGGCATAGCTGGAAGTTGTTTATACAGAAAAGCAGGGTGTGAAGTGTTGTATTTTAGTTGTCATGCAGTGCCTAAAAGTAGACTCTTTAATTGTGTTATAAAATAATGATTAGACAGGAAGCCTGCATGGAAATTTATTCCTCTATGGTTAGAGTAACCCTTATGTTACAAATCCTCTTTTTATAGCCTAATTAAGCACCGAGATTTGAGAGCCAGAACGCCTGCCTTGAATCGCATCTTTGTGACCTTGGACCCAGGACAGCCTCTCTGAATCACAGTCCCATCTGTGAAGTGGAGATAACAGTAGTCCCTGACTCAGGGTTCTGCGAGGACTCGAGTCAATGGGCGTAAAGCACACAGGTCTGTGTCTCGCACACTGTACAAGTGTTAGCGGTTGATGTTTTCATTCCCACATCTTTTTTTTTTTCCTTTTTGTTTTCTTTGCCATAGGGCATGTGTGCTCACTGAGAGAGACAATGAGAGAAAGTGAGAAATCACCCCCCACAGGGGGATGGCCACACTGCAATCCCTTCTCATCTAGTCTCCTCTTGGGATTTTGGGTACATGTACTCATGCTCCCGGCATGATTTTCAAGCTGTCAGGTCCAGGATTCAGGCCACGGTTGGCCATGTGGGAGTGCAGCACTCTAACCATTGTGTTGCCTGCTGGCCCTCCGTTTAACTACTTTAATCTCATCAAAAGCTAAAGTGGTTTCTTCTTAGTATGTGTGTATGTGCATGTGTATGTGAGAATAAGTAAAAATGTCCTTCCTGGATAGTGCGGTACCATTTGGGGAATCAGTTACAGACCTGTTTTTACAACTCTTTGAGTCATACCCGTATTTCCATGTGGTTGGTTACAAGTCATGGCAGCCATGTGAGTGCCCTCATCAGCCTTTCCCTTACTGTCTCTGGGTCCCTAATCTTTCTTTGAGTAAATGATGAATACTAAAACTAGGTTGGTTGATTCACTGGGAGGACTGATGCCAGGTAGACATACTCATGGCATGATTGATTGCAGCCAAAGGGCACAAAACACATGGACCCAAGTTCAGAGGAAGCCAGGCACAGACTTCCAAGAGTCACAAAGGACACGCTCAATTCCGCTAATACTGAATTACGACAACACGCATGAAATAGCATTTGCTGGGAATAGAGAAGCTCATTAGTGATGTGGGGGCTGCTTATGAAGGCACCCTCAGCTTAGCATAAACCAGAATCCCAGACTGAGAAGGAAGCAGGTGCATGGGACCACATGTTTTGTACACTGTTGTGCACAGTCACGTGTGAGTTAGTGAATGGTGAGAGCCCTCGGGATATCCAAGGTCCTAGACACTAGTCAAGGGACAGCCTCACAGGCAGGGCTTTCTTTTTTTTCTTTTTAAATTTGTTTGAGGGCACATATGCTCCAGAGGCAAAGTAAGAAAGCACCCTCCTATGGGGCATAGTCATCCACAATCCCTTCTCTTCCATTTCTCCCTTGTTTTGGGACTTGGGACATGCACACACACATGCCTGGCATAGTTTTCGAGACACTGGGTCTGGGACTTGAACTGCAGATTGATCATGTAGGATTCAGCTTTCCTAACCAGCATGCCACCAGCTGGACCATAAGTAGGCCTTTCCGAAGATGGCTCCCTCAAGCCTGCAAGACCAACTCTTCTGCACACCTACCCATAGTCAAGGCAGTGCTTGTCCTTGTCATCTTTTCAACCTTAATTAGTACACCAGCCTATTAATTGGCTTCTCTGAGTCTTCGATGTCCTGCTTGAGTCTGTCCTGCCATGCTCACATCTTCTCTATGTCTCTTTCTGTCTGGCGAGTTCATGCACCCTATAGCGAAAATCTCTCCAAAAATAAATAAATAAATAAATAAAAATAAACTCAGGCTTTAATTAGATTTTTCCATGAACTTTTGGAGGTCTCCTCATAAACGAGGCTTTATTTTTTTGGTGAGTCCCTAAAGTATATTTTAACTTTGCTTTTCATTAACTCTTTGGGAGAGTCCAACAAGGAGACTGGAAGACACCACAAAAAAGTGTCCCATTACTTATTCTGGTCATCAGGCGTATCATTCAGCAGATCAAGGATTAATTTGCTGCCAGGTTCAAGTTCTGGACGTGGTGTCTTTAAAAACACACCAGCTACGTGCATGTGCATCCTGAGAGGAGAATGGAGCCGAAAGACGTAGCGTAGCTTTCCCCTGGTGGCTTTTCCCCTGGAGGGTGCTTTCTCATATCCTCTCTCTCTCTGCCCCTCATCACCATGAGTGCAATTGCCCTATAGCAAAATAAGAAAGAAAGAAAGAAAGAAAGAAAGAAAGAAGGAAGGAAGGAAGGAAGGAAGGAAGGAAGGAAGGGACTGTTCAACTTAGCCTGTCAGCTCACAGAATGATGAATAAATAAAATGTTTTTTTTTAAAAAAAAAGAAAGGTTATAATCAGCATCTGTGTAATGGGGAGCCTGTATTTCTTTTCTTTTTTAAGTTTTATAAACCAGGGTATATTTTGGGTTTTTTTGAGGTAAAGGAATTTCTTCATATGTTATTTTATTTATTTTTTTTTTTGAGAAGTTTTCGCTATAGAGCACGTGCGCTTGCCAGACAGACAGACAGAGACAGAGAGACAGAAAGCGAGAAATCACCCCCCAGGGGGGATGGTCACGCCGTAATCCCTTCTCCTCCATTCTCCTCTCGGGATCTTGAGCACACACGCACACACACCCGGCGTGAGTTTTGGGCACGCACGCACACGCGCCCGGCGTGAGTTCTAAGCCACTGGGTCCGGGACACAAACCAGCAGAATTAGTTTCACAAACCAGGGTATATTTTGTTTCTTTGAGGTAAAGGAATTTCTTCATATGTTATTTTAATAAAAGGGAATTTCATAGGTAAAAACCAATATTCAAAATTATAAAACAAATAGAACTGTCTATGCATAATCACTGAATCAAAAATTTCCAAGAGACTCAACAGAAATTCTTTATTTGACAACTAGGGTTTGAAGGGATAATAAAAATTTCTTATGGCTAGAGCAAGAGTCTTGTTTCCTGTTGGTCCAAAAACAAATGTTTTATTTTCCAAATAAGTAGGTTCTCCACTGTAAAGAAATATTCTTGTATAGTTGGTTTCTATCTTCTTGAGCTCTGTTCCAAGTTCAGTCAACTTCTTATATGTCCTTAATACAAATGTGGAACAATCATAGGATTCAAACCATGTCTCTGCCCCTTTTTCTGGGCTGGCGTGGATAGTCCATGTCTCACAATAAATCCCTGTTTCATTGTCTTATTTTACCCACTTTGCCATTCTGTTAAATGTGACTCCTGAGATGATTGCTAGCTACTAGAGCTATTGCCCCTTTTTCTTTCCAGTGAGTAGTGTCAGTTCCTTCAAAAAAGCAGGCAGTTCCTTGATTTCACCAGAAAGGGGCATTCCTTTCAGGTCAGAGATGGGGAACTGTGCAATTGCCAAGCTGGAAAAGTTCATACCACTTCACCGTGTAGTTCTCACCAGTTTCTGTGCTCTGGAATCCAATGGCATCATGCATAATTGTAAAGTGGCCCGGGAGGTCTCCATATCTAAATTCCTACACTGGGGTTTGTAATCGAAAGACTTCAATGATGTCATCACTCTTCATAACTGGGATAGGTGATCCAGTTGGACAGAAAGTGTACTTAGCTTGACAATAAGGACCTGGCTCAGGACGGAATGAAAAGTGTTTGTAGGGCACTAGCCAGTGATGCCGGGAGAGGCCACCTGAGGCCCACAGCCAGCCCAGGCCACCGTCAGCCAGAGCAGCCACAGAGCCCAGTGCCATACCGCCCGCCCTCTGACCCCCTTTCCTGTATTTCAATTAAGAGTTAAAGTAGAGTTTTGGGCCAGCAGGTGGTGTCATGGTCAAGGGCGCTGAACTCCCACAAGGCCAAGCGCCGTTTGAATCTCAGACCTGGCGGCTTGCTTTCTCACTTTTTCTCTCTCGTTGTTCCTCTCTGGTCAAATTAAAATACATAAATAAAAAAGTTTAAGAAAATAATTATTTAAAAAAAAAGTTAAAGTAGAGTTATGTGTTTACTAAGTACTTTGAAATCTCTGGGCACTCAATAAATGCCAAGTGCTCTTTTTATTTGTAAGTCTGTGGCCAGATCCCTACGTATTCTTAAAGGTTTGCAGTGCACTTGGCACGGACAGCATTGCATATTAGCCCTTGCTACGTAACAAACCTCTTGGAACTCCAGCTTAAAACATCAGGTACTTATCTCTGCTCATGAGCCCATGGGTCCCCTGGGGAGTCCTCTGGCCTCAGCCAGGCTCATGCATGCCGTTGCCAGCTGTGGATCACCTCTGTTGACCTCAGCCGATCTCTTACACATTTGAGTGTTAGCTAGCTACAGGCTGGCCAAGGATGGAGTCAGCAGGGACAGTTGGGCTCTCTGCCCCGTCACCGCTCATCCTCCAGCAGGCTTGCCCCTCTGGTTCACATGACGTGCCAGGCTTCCAAGGGAGGGAGCGAGAGTTGGCATGGCCTCTTCTCAGAGCTGGCATGCTGTCGCCTCAGTCACCTTCCGGGAGCCAAAGCATCACCAGCCAGCCCATATTCAAGTGTCGAGAAATAGACCCCATCCTTGGTGGGAAGAGCTGCAGAGCCACAGCATGAGGAGCCTGTATACAGGGAGGGATAATGAAGCTGTCTTATTTATTTATTTTGCAATTTATGTACCATAAGCAGTTACATACTGTGTTATGTGCTGTAGATTCAACCAGATCTAGACCTTTAGGTGGTGAGAGATTTTGTTAGGATCACCATTCCTGTTTAGCACAGAAGTCAGGATTTCTTTGAATAAAGTGAGAGCTTTGATATTAGACTTAGACTTTCTCACACTCTGGATTTATTTTGGGGGAAAAGTAATTTAATGCTTTGTTACTGTTTAGGAATTACTGCCCTAGAGGGTAAAATGTGGAGTTTTCTGAAAAGCTGCCTTTTTTTTTTTCTGAGAGAGATTTTTGCTGTAATGCCCTTGCACTCAGCAGAGAGGCAGAGAGACCGGAAGTGAAAAATCACCACTTGGGGGGATGGTCACGCTGCAATCTCTTCGTCTCCATTCTCCTCTTGGGATTTTGGGCACACACGCATAAGCTCCTGGCATGAGTTTGAAGCCGCAGGTTCTTGGACTCGAACCACTGTCAGCCATATGGGAGTCCAGCTCTTTAGCCAGTCATGTGAACCAGAGGGGCTAGCCTGCTGGCCCCTAAAAAGCCTTCTTAGAAAAATATTGTGCTTATGATTTGCCATATAAACTGCTTTTCTTTTAAGTTTCCAGAAGATGTGTGTGGTCACCAGAGACAGTGAGAGGGAGAGGGAGAGGG